AATGCTTCTATCCGTCTTTTTTTTATTTTGAATACCCATTTGCTACCAATGATGTTCATAGAAGGAGAGAAGGAATCAAGGACCAAGTTCTCACATGAAGGAGAGCTGAGATTTCAATTTTCATGGCTTCATGTCATGGTAAGTGTTGGCATGCTTTAAAGTAGCAAGAAGGAGCCTCAAGAACTATGGGTTAAGTAGTGATAATAGAAGTATTCAACTTAGATGTCTTGGTCATGCGATCGTTATCATAGGATAGGTTTATAGTGGCTCAACTAGAGTGGGTTGGGTTTTTGAATGATCTAAAGCATAGCTACTCATATTTAGTATAAGGTTTAGCTCACTCGTGAATGTGATGAAGATGCGAGTAGGGCAATTTGAATTTAGGGAAGAAGAAGAGGAACAAGAGGAGGAGAGAGAGTTGTGTATGTAGCTATTAAGTGAGGGAGATAAGTGGTGGGTGATATAATTATTTGAAGACACTAATTGGGTTGGTAGTGGGATTTGAGTGGGGTTATTATTAAGGAGCTTTTTGAGGCGGTGAGGATAGGCTAGGAGCCTGGATGGGCTTATAGTTATAGGCTTATATAGGGGTTGAGTCTGCTTATGGCTTTTTAAGGGTGGTCGATTATAGTATGTTAGTGGGCATGAACTGGTTGTTGACTAGCCTAGCCATGCTTTGTGTTATTTGGTTAATTTGGAGGTTGATTAGCATGGTGGGTCGGTTAGTAGAGCTGATAGGTTGTTCGGTTCATGTGGAGGGGCAATAGCTTTGTGTGTTAAATGGGATATGTTTTAAAATGTGGACACAAGAATAGGAACCAAGGACGAGTACAGAGTGATGTGTACCTATATAGAAAACGGAATGAGGGTGAATTGGAAGACATGCCCAAAGGGAGGAAGGAGAGGGAGCTTGATAGAAGTAATAATAGAGTGTTTTGCTTCGTAAATGAAAAAATTATTTCAATAAAACAGATATGACGAGCAATATAGGTGTGATTTTTTTCTATCAAGGCATCGATACCCTAAGTGGGCGTGGCTAAATCCAAGGAAAACATATGGAGTGGAGTAAAAATTCATTTTGTGTTTATTGAAGAGACGTAGAAAGGGAAAGTAGAGACAACAAAAAAATTTTAGGAAAGAATAGTCTCGGAGGTTTTTTAAACACAGTTTGAAATTGAGATTTATGCATGGTGACACTTGAGGGCGTACGATTTATGAGAAAGATAGTTGTTTCAAAAGCAAAGTGCTCATATTTTTTAGAAACACTCGCTTCACCTAGTAAGATGAAACTGGTTTTCATAATGTGGTGGTGTCGTCTTTCAACTCGTCCCATTTTGTTCATATGTATAGGGGCACATGATATCATCAATAAGGCCAATGGATTGAAAAATTTTATTTAAAGTGTGAAATTTGCCACCCCAATCAGTTTGGGCTTGTTTTATCTCGGCAATCAAATTGTTGTTCAACCATTTTTTGAAATTTAAGAAAAGTGTCGAACACATTAGTTTTTTTTAAATGGGAAAATACCAAATATATTTTGAATAATGGCTAATGAATATGACATAATATGTATGACCATGAATGGATATAGTAGGTGAAGGACCCCATACATCGCTAAAAAATAAATCTAAGACTCTAGAACTAGTGTTTTTAAAAGAAGATAAAGGTGTACGCTTTACTTTCCCTAAAGGAAAAGATAAACGAAACTAGATAATTTTAAAGTGGAAGATAAGGAATGTCTTTTCAAAATAGAATTCCATACTCGTTATGGGGATGACCCAATTTGGAGTGTCAAACATTTACAGAGACAAGTGGCGAATGGATTTGTGGACTAGATTGGACGAATAGAGGAGTTAACTTATATAGATCAGTATCACTCTAGCTCGAAAGAATTGGTGTCTTATGTTCTTGATCCTTTAGATAGAAAATAGAAGGGTGAAACTCCCAAAATATGTTATCTTGCATGTTAATTTTTGAACGGAAAGTAATAGTCTAATTATTTAAGGAACATGTAGAATATTGAGAAGCTATAAAGTTTGGGTTAGTATTTTAATATGATAGGTACCAATATGTTGTATTGAAAGGAACTCACCATTACTAACTTGGAGATGATCTAGTCCTTGGTATGATTCATAAGTACTAAACCTTGACAAATTAGGTGTCGGATGGTGAAAAGCACTAGTGCCGGGACACTAAAAAGGTACAAAACGGGTGGAGAGTGACATAGCAGTTGAAATTTGTCGAAGGTCGAGCAGGGATTAAGTTGTCTTTGAGGGCAGTGGACAACGAGTGTGATGCCAAGGTGAACGAATTTGGCACTTGGTGCACTAGTCATATTAAGGCCAAGGTCTTTTACTATCGGATGATGCATAGTTTCCATACCTAGTATTGAATCTCCCACGTTCTCACCCTCGAAAGGACCTACCTCTACCACGGTTGTAGGCACTAAGACAAGTCAAAGGTGGTGCCATTTTCTTTGTGAATGATGTTAGCAGTAGGTGGAGAGGGTAATAAACCAAGTTTGTCATGGAGTTCGATCGGAGAAAGTCTCACGATTCAAGAACTCATGGCTAACAAGAAAGCTCGTGTAGATCGGTGAAGGTGACGGCTTCAGCTCTAGTGGTAAAAGAGGTGATAATATCTTTAAAGTTTTCGGACAACCCCTTAAAGGCATAGAGCTTGAAGTCAATAGGGAAGATGGGTTGGTCAGCTGCAGACAATTCATCGGTGTAAGTTATTACACGATGTAAAAATTGAGAGACAGATTTAATGGGCTCTTGGCAAAGTTTTTGTAATGCAAGATGGCGGGATATGATTCGGATGTCGAAGGGAGAAGCAAGGGCTTATTCAAGTACATACCATATTTTTTGAGAAGTGGTACAATCAATGATCATGGGGAGGATATTGGGTGAGAGGGCGGAGATGATGGTACTTATGAGAAGCCGATCTTGTTGGATCTAGACGAGATGGGATGGATTCACCTTTGAGCCGTTTGTTTCAATAGTAGTAAAATGGTTAGGGGCATGGGTGTGATCTATCAATAAAGCCATAGAGCCCCTAGCCAATGAGGAAGAGTTTCGATTGGACATGCCATAAGAGAAAATTGGTATATGTTAATTTCAAGGATAAAAAGTGGTGAGAGTTGTTTAGGGGGTTAACGTGATAGAATCGATGTAGGAGGAAAAGATGGCAATGATGCCTTTGTGGCTCGAAACCAAGTTAAAACCATAATAGAGAGTAAATGCAAGATGCCGGGAAAAGTGTTTTAAGTTTTGTAGAATATTTTCTCATGGGTATATTTTGTGATACCCTATTTTATATATGTTCCTTGCTATAGTAGATTAGTATAACTTTGCATAAGAGATAAGAAGTCTATCTATGTTATGTGACTATCTACTATGTTACAACAATATAACTATGTGCATGAGACTTAGAAGATAGAGTTGAAGAAGTAGCAACAACACTCTACATGGCAAGTAGCCGTAAAAGTGCGGTAGTACTGGAAGTCGGGCAGGCGCGTGCAATATGACTTGCGGTAGTGCTGAAATTCTTTGGAGAAAAGAAAGAAGTGGAAACGTGTCTTAACATTGAATCAACCCGTCATGGTGGAGCCAACCCAAACTCCTTTTTTCTAACATTATGGTTAAAGATATTATCAATATGATAAAACGTATAGGCATGATAAAATTGTTGAGAACTTATTTGCAAACAATCATAATATAGTTATACATTATGGAAGCATTTACCTTGTACGAAAGTACTACTTCGAGGTTTTTTTTTTTTTAATCCATTTTTAATAAGAAAATTAATGGCATTAAGAACTAGTATTGGAGAAATTTTATAATACACCGGAGTAACTAGTGGCATGTACAGTAGTTACTCCATGGGCCCACTTTGAGGAGAGAGATAAACACATAAAAAAAAGATGGAAATTACATCTATACCCATCAAAAGTGATAAGAAGATTTCCACGTCCGCTCAAATTTTTTTATTTTCTCTCTCTTATTTTTCTCTCTCTTTTTTTGTATATCTATCTCTCTCTCCTCAAAATGGGCCCATTGAGTAACTAGTGTATATGTCATTAATTACTCTTGGTGTATTATAAAATTTCTCCTAGTATTGATTAATGAAGAACTAGCATTAATTAATGAAGAAATGGCAAACTCTTCTTAAAGTTTTGCACCAATTATACAACGTGTAAAGATAAAATTTATATTGTTTGTTGACGTGATAATCAATAGATTGATTTATTCTTCTTAGGTTTATATATATATATATATATATATGGAAGTATTTATATGTTGATTTTTTTTATAAACGTGAACATGCTAATATATTCAATAAACCTGCTAAGATGCTACAGTACTAAAAGATCCTGTCCAACCAATTCAATAAATAAGACTTGAACACCTATTTAAGCTGTAATTTGAGAGGGGAAAAAAGAAAAACAAAATCCCAATAGAAAAGAACTGTGACAAAAAAAAATTCTATATCAATGTTTTATTTATTTATTATTATTTATATCGAAATTAATCTCCTCTCAGCTCGCAGTAGTACCCTCCAAGGATGGTTACACGTCATCTAAACCATGTTGACTAGGAAAAGGCCTAATTAACTGATACCTTTAATTATGGAGAAAATCTCTCTCTCTCTCTCTCTCCCAATTTTCCAAAAAACCAATTGCCATTTATTATTTTTTTGGCTGTTCAGGAAGAGGGTTTGTGGAAAGAATTATTCAGCAATTTCCTTTTCTCTTTAGGTATTTATGTTATGATTTATTTTTATTTTTTTTTACGTAATTTCTTTACCCATGTTGCATTTGAGATATGCATGCACATCAAACAATGGTGTTTTTTTTTTTGCACTGCATGTTCTGCAAACTTAATTGAACGAGTAGATTGCTTGTTAGCCAATTTATTTATTCATTTTGTTTGGCAATGCCATGCATGGATATTGAACACAATCCTGTAAGATTTTTTAGAAGGAAAAAAGAAAACACAATGCAGGTATGTTTCATAATTATGATTTTGTTAACTTTTCGATGCAAGAATTCAATCGACAGAATTTTATTAAATTTTGGGATCTTTCCATAGTTCAATAGCTTTGCAGGTTCAAGTCAAAATAAACACAAATTTCACTGTATTTGACAATCTTTTTCCTGGCTCACACTTTTAATATTCACCATGTGGGATCTGTGTCTTCTTCTGTACAATCACTTCACACCCTTAGGCCCAAGTGATATATGTTTAAAAATAAAAAATAAAAACACATTTTAGGCTGAACTATTGTTAATTAATCCCTAAGCAGATCTTTTAAGGCTATTTACAGTTAGATCAGCTCCCTCATAAGGCTATTTGAAGAATTATGCTGCATTAGCTTTCATAATTTAGATTTGGTTTCTTGAATTTGAACTCATTTGTGCACTCTAGTTGAAGGTATGCTTTTCTTTTTACTTCCCTTCTGCAATTTGATAGTTCTATCAATCAGATTGAAAGTCCGTCTGCTCTGGTTTACTTCTGTGTGCAGAATTTTTCCTTTTCTTTCTTTTAGGTGTTTGTTATAAGTGCTTCAAAACTTATTTTTCTCATGGAGTTGTTCTTTCTAGTTGAGGTTGCATTTTTACCATGGGTTCCAGCCATGAAGGGATTCAGATGCTACTAGCTGCAGAACAAGAGGCCCAACAAATTGTTACTGCTGCCAGAAACTGTGAGAACTGAATAACATAATTAAGCACCATCAAAATAGTTAGAAAAAATCTTCTTGTTGTTTACTTTATTCCTTTATATTTTGTGCATCTTTCACAATGAATTCAAACCGTTGTAACCAACAAAAATCTCACATTGATGTTCAGTGAAGACAAAAAGGTTAAGGCAAGCTAAAGAAGAAGCTGAGAAAGAGGCAGCCCTTTATCGCTCCAATTGGGAAACTGAGCACCAAAAGACACTTGATGAGGTATGGCACCTCAGCTACATCTATTTTCTGTTTCATATATATATATATATATATATATATATATGGTGCCAACAGAAACCACAAAGAACACAAATACCAACGTTTTCATCAACTGATGGCCTTAATTTACCTAGCTTGAATTACAATTTCTTTAATCTATTCTCTTTGTTTGGTTTCCTAAACTATCTAGACAAATGGGAACTCTGGCTTAACTGCGGGACGGCTTGAAGAGGAAACTGAAGCCAAGATTCAAAACCTGAAGAACTCAGCCTCTAAGGTCCAGTCAGATATTGCTGACATGCTCGTCAACTATGTTACAGCCGTAAAGTATTGATGCTTTAAGGTTAGTGTGAGCTTCAATTGTGTGGACTACCCCTTTCTGTATAAGTTTTTCTTTCTCTTTAGCAGTTCGACATTCATATCCTTAAAGTTGTTTTTCCTTTCATTTACTGACACAGAGTTTGAACAATTAAGATTGTAGCAAAACATAAATCTTTACACCACCTGCGTTAAACGAGAGCCGCTCACTGTTCTGTATTGTTTCTTTGCTATCCGGTCACAGGTTGAGAGAGACAATTAAAGGAGTAGCCTGCAGCAAAGAAGAAACGTAACTGGCCAACTATACATATCTAATAAGAGTTGCTCCTTTTCCTATAATCTTTTCATTGAAGCATGGATTTGGTCATCATCAATAGAGAGCTGTTAGGCTTAGTGTAAAACTTTTACTATTCACCAATGTCATATGAGTAATATTGGTTTTGGATCATTGCCGAATGTTTTTATGTTCTTTCAAAATGAATCTGGATGCATAAATCATTTAGTAAGAGTTTTGACCGCCATGAATATGACATTCGGAAACGTTTGTGGGAATAATTGGGTGAAATAAGGAGGAAGTTGCTTATGCCTAAAGCTGGCACGGAGATGAGAAATGGAATTCTAGAAATGCATAACCCAGCCATTATGCAAACTACATTTATCATGAAAATATTATGGCCGGTAAAAACATTTACATGAGTAGCTTTGCAAGAGGATAGAAACTAGACTAGGAATTTGGTCACCTCAGTTTAATTATTTTTTACTACTGAATTCGGTGCCGTTTTTTATTATCCGTCCAAGCTGGGTTCAGGGAATCACGTTACCAAAGCCAATATCCAGCTGTTGCAAGTTTTTATTTTTTTTAACCTTCCTTGACAGGTTCTGGAAACTTGCCTGCTAAATTGTTCTTACACATTCACATTCCATACAAACTGATTTTGCTAACAGATTCGAATTAGAGCAGAGTCCAGAAGCTGCGTCAGGCACAGGCTGAAGGCATCAGCGTCCAATTTAATTGTCCGATGAAAAGACCTAAATATATTTGTAAATAAAGCTCCAAAAAAATGAATAGAGAGAAACTTAGCTAATGGCATGGAGATTATTGCATGAAAAAACTTTTGCTCGAACAATCTGTAAGCAATTGCCCGATGCTACCATCTTAACCCCTCCCATGAAAAGACCATCTCTGTTTCTTTAGAATCAATGGAGCGTATCAACAGAAAATCTTGAACAAATTGAGCATTTGTAAACCAAATTATTTACAGTAAAGCCTGAAAGCAACATCTTCTCGGCAAATCTAACAGCCGCACTGAACATCAGTTTATAGTGCGATTAAGGTTTTGCCTCCCAGGTTAAATTTGCAAGTAGGGAATCCCCATAGCATCTGATTATTCCATCAGCCAAGCATTGAGGGGAGGTACACTGATACTTTGGCCAATCAGATCACCTGAACAGCAGCAAGGGAATGTCGACTACCCATATGAACAGTCTGGCAAAATGAAGAATTATACAAGTTAGCACTTGGCCTTCTTCCCGCTGTTAAGTACTCTATGCAGTTGGAAAGCTTCACCTTGATCCCCATTCAAGGACCTTCTCTCCAAGCAGCAAACAGTAAGTTGTCTCAGTAACCTCTCAAGATGTGATCGCAAGCAGCTTTGTGAATCTTTCATGTTGGGATCTGTTGACAAAATCATGGCGTTTACTGCATCAGCCACAATCTCACGCTGTGACTCTTCAAGAAGATACCCAGCTGAGCACTGCTGGGGGTGTTCATATGCCAGCAAGGCAACACAATCCTGCAAAAGCAAGGAAATATTAATAGGTGATTTAGCTTTAACTTCAATATTATGAGACAGAAGACATCATTAAACATTAGGGCTATGGGCATGATTTCCTTTCCTCTCTTGTTATGTGTGAAGGAGGAAAATATTCACAGGCAAAAGAAAAGAAAAAAAAAAAAACAGTGCTTGACAGAAAATCCATTGAGTACCTGAACAAGAACATCAAACCCAGGCACCTTAAAGAACTTTGCCAATTCAATCCTTCCATAATGGACAGCCTCCTCTAGTGCTCCAGCCTACATACATTATATAAAGTTTCCACGACTATACATTCAGTTAAGCGCTCAAAAGTCATGAATTCATGATTATGCAGTAGAACAGTTAACGATTCTCATGGAGAAACTAATTGTGACTGTACGAGGAACCCTACTTGATTAGAGGAAAGAGAAATCACAGAAAATAAATGGGTAAAAAATATGAAAAAATAACAACAGCATGCATACACAGGCTGCCATACATACAAGCAGTTGATAATTATTTTTTAAAAAAGGCAGAATTAAGTTTCTAGATATGTTGAAGCAACTTTCAGCAAACCAACATACATCCATGCCAGTCCGTATTCATCACCATGAATTAAAGATTTCCTCTATTAAAAAATATGACTAAAAGAAACTAAACAGGGCAAAAACATATACCCGAACCAATTCAATAAATTTTTGACAGTGAAGCAGAAAGCAAGTGGCTGATGTTTTATCCTGCCAAAAAAAAAAAAAAAAACCAGTCAACTCTCACTTTAAGTTAATGGTTCAGTACATACCAAGATTACAGAAAATTCAATTTCAAAGTCATCTACATGCTAAAGTACAGATTAAATAGAAATAAAAGACTGAAACAGCAACCACGCTGTAAATGGCGTTCACCTGAACAATCTGGGGATACCACTCATGAAGTCTATGGAGTGCAGCATCAATCTCACCATTTCTGATTAGCTTCAATAAAGAACATATGTCAGCAAAACCAAATATCACATTCAAAACAAAGGAAACAATAAATAAATAATACTTTAAAAAGAATAGATATACCACAAGCATCGTGACAGATTGAAGATTATAAACAATGATAGCCAGAAGAATGATGACCATCACAGTTGAACTAATTCACAGGAGACACCATACAGGACATAATCTGCCATATCAGATCCTTCCAAACATAATTATGACCATCATAACAGAGTAGAAAACACTCAACTTAAATGAGGAAACTTATTCTTGCTGCAACCTATACTTCAACATTTTTGTATAAATGGCCGATCTCAAGACTCAAACCTACAGCATTGTGAGTGTAGCCCAATACTTTGGGAATTGTACCAAGCAAACATCCCCAATTTTTCCAACAATAAACCCCAGGGAATATATCCAAATAAAATACAACTTGTGTACCAGAAAAGCATGATTAAGTTATTCATTAGCAGTTACCAACATCCATCACTAAACCTCTTTCTCATGTCATTACATTGCTTGCACATGAAACACGCACAAATCTACTCCTTCCAGATTAACAGTTAAATTAGCATATAGGCATTGCATTCACCAAAAATGCTCACCGTCCAGACCCTACCCCAACTGAGCTTAGCAGTTAGCACCATTTTGCAATGTTTCTGCATCTCAGAAATTCATTCTTAACCAATATCTTCTAAAAGCATGTCAAAGGGTAGAGCAACATCAAGTATGGGATGCACACAAGAGGCACTCAAAACACATGTGGTGCCCAATGAATTCTTAGAACAGCAGACTTTCTAAATTCTAACAGTAATGATCTGAGAATGCAGTATTTAGGGGCTTGTAGGAAATATCGGGATATAATTAGATAGGAAATATTTTGTATATTCTTTCCTATTTTGTAAGGATCCTATTCTATTTTCCTATTATTTAGGAATTATTTCCTATCTTAGGACTCTCTATGTGTGTGTGTATATATATATATCTGTAGTTGTGTAATTGAGATACTGAAATTATTTTCCCAAATATTATTTTCTTCATGGTATTAGAGCCCTAGGGTCTCTCTAGGGACAATTGTTAAAAACGCAGCCTTCATTGCTGCACTTATCTCCTACTTTATTCTGTATTACGTTTTGCCCCCTACAATGGCCAACACACAATCTTCAGAGACCAAAGCTCCGAATTCATCTGTGACGTCGATTCCATCAAGCGAGGGAGATCAGCCAAGCCGGACCAATCTGGATTTTCAGAATGTTCAAGCTGCTTACTGATTGAATGGAAAAAACTATCTCAAATGGTCTCAATTTGTTCGAACCTTCTTGAAGGGAAGAGGGAAGATGGGGCATCTGCTAGGCACCGAACCAGAAAGGGGGACAGTAGGCTTTGATGCTTGGGATGAGGAAGATTCGATGATTATGTCATTGCTATGGAATTCAATGACTCCAGAAATCAGTGACACTTGCATGTTTCTTCCCTCTGCAAAGGCAATCTGGGATGCTCTCAATCAAACTTATTCTAAAGTTAACGACGCAGCCCTCATTTATGAGATAAAAACCAAAACTGCAGCAATGAAACAAGGGACAAAATCTGTAACCGAGTACGCCAATTTGTTGCAGAACCTATGGCAGGAGCTTGATCACTACAGGACCATCGATTTGAAGTGTAGTAACTGTGTTGTCTCCGTGAAAAAATTCATTGAACGTGATCGTGTGTATGATTTTTTAGCAGGATTAAATTCTGATTTTGACTTAGTTCGTATTCAAATCTTAGGAAGAACTGATGTTCCCTCCCTTAATGAAACCATCTCTATGGTTCGTGCTGAAGAAAGTCGCAGAGGAGTGATGTTAGATTCATCGGCAGTTGAGAGCTCGGCACTCCTAAGCTCAAACTCCAAGACTCCAAATTCGGGTTTTTCTCTTGATAAAGCCGTCGTTCAACAGTCGCATCCCCAAAGGAACACTTCGAAAGATGATCTATGGTGTACTTATTGTAAAAAACCCAGGCATACCAAGGAGGAGTGCTGGAAATTATATGGCAAGCCGTCAACTCACAACCGAGAATGGGGTCAAAGAGGTGAGCAGCAAAGACAATCACAGAGGCAAGCCTATGTGACAACACAAAACGCACCGAAGGGATTAGGAGGACTCAGTATGGAAGATCTGGAAAAACTCAAGAGCTTGCTAGGATCCGTGGAAAAACCTGCTACACCTCCTAACCAATCTCAAGGTTTGTGCTCATTAACGCTCTCGGGTAAAACTCCCATCTCCTTTGGATTAAATGTTTTGGATAATGAGTTTCGGAATGCATGGATTTTAGACTCGGGTGCTATGGACCATATGACCCACACATCCAGTTTTTTCAAAACCTATACTCCTTGTCCCGAGTAGTCGAAAAATAACCGTAGCCGATGGTACAACAACCACAGTAGCCGGTATTGGAGATATCCAAATTGGTCAAAACATGATGCTAAAAAATGTTCTTCATGTTCCTCGATTATCCACCAATCTTATTTCTGTTCATAAACTTATCCAAGACTTGAATTGTCATATTATCTTTTTTGTTGGTTGTTGTGAATTTCAGGATCAAAAGTCGGGGAAGAAAATTGGACTTGCTAAAGAGCACAATGGCCTTTACTACTTCAGTACACCAAGTCAGCAGAGCCCGATTAATTTATCTTCTCCATTCTCATGTTTTTCACAGTCAAATAAAGATACCATTTGGTTGCATCATAGGCGTCTAGGTTATTTGTCGTTTTTTACCTTAAAAATAATGTTCCCACACTTGTTTAAGGGAGTCGATGTTAAAGTTTTTCGAGTGTGACATTTGTGAGTTTGCCAAACACACACGTGTATCGTTTCCAATAAGCAATAAAAAATCAAGTTTTCCTTTTTCTTTAATTCATAGTGACATTTGGAGCCCTTCGTCCATCCAAAACATTACTCGGATCAAAATGGTTTGTTACTTTTATTGATGATTGCACTAGAACTTCCCGGGTTTATCTTCTTAAACAAAAATCTGATGTCAATCATATTGTTCCCACTTTTATCTCTATGATAAAAAATCAGTTTGGGGTACCAGTCAAACGTATCCGGTCAGATAATGCTCGTGACTACTTTAATCAGACTTTGTCTTCCTATTTTCAAAAAGAGGGTATTATTCATGAGTCATCTTGTGTCATCACTCCACAACAAAACGGAGTCGCTGAACATAAAAACCGTCATCTTCTTGAATGTACTAGGGCGTTTTTGTTCCAACAGAATGTTCCTAAAACGTTTTGGGGGAGGCAGTTTTAACGTCGGCCTATGTCATAAATAGGATGCCCTCTAAAGTCTTAGATTTCAAAAGTCCACTGGAAATTTTATCTTAGTTCTTCCCCGATGTTCGGTCTTCCTTCAGCCTTACCCCTCGTATTTTTGGGTGTACATCCTTTGTTCATGTCCATAATACCACTCGGGGAAAGTTAGATCCTAGAGCCCTTAAATGCATTTTTTTGGGGTATTCAGTCACTCAAAAAGGATACAAGTGTTATCATCCACCTACTCAGAAGCTCTATGTCTCAGCTGATGTCACTTTTATTAAAAATAAACCATATTTTTCTACACCTTACATTTCGGATGAGCTTCCTACAATTGTTGATTTCGATATTGATCTGTCTCTTGATATTTCTTCATCAAGAGATGTAGCTCCTCATGAACAGCCTCTTGATGATCATGTTTACCAATCCACCATTCTCTTGCCCGCAGAAGAAACACAGGATAATGGTAGATTGATTGATCAGTTTCGGTTTGATAAGGTGTATACAAGGAAAAAGGACGTCATTCCTGCTCTGCAACAAGATCAATCACTTGTACCAAGTTCTGAACCTGAGGTAACAATTTCTAACATTTTTTCTCCCTCATCTGATTCTACACAACTTGAGACTGATCTTAACAAACCTATAGCCTTAAGGAAAGGAACCCGCAACTGCACAAAAACACCTTTATACCCACTGGCCAATTTTGTTTCTTTCACTAATTTTTCTCAAAATCACCGTAGCTATCTGTCCACATTAAATTCAATTGCTATTCCTAACTCTTTGTCTGAAGCTTTATCTAAAGAAGAATGGAGACTTGCTATGACTGCAGAGATGGAAGCACTGGAAAGGAATGGTACTTGGGAATTGGTGCCGCTGCCTCAAGGGAAGAAAACAGTCGGCTGTAAGTGGGTGTTTATGGTGAAACTTAAGTCGGATGGGTCTTTAGAACGATACAAGGCCAGACTGGTTGCCAAGGGTTATACTCAAACATATGGGGTTGATTATCAAGAGACGTTTGCTCCAGTAGCAAAGATGAATACAGTGCAAATTTTGTTGTCATTGGCGGTCCACTTTGATTGGGAGTTACAGCAATATGATGTGAAGAATGCATTTTTACATGGTAACTTGGAGGAAGATATTTACATGAGCATTCCACCTGGTTTTAGTGGCAGTGATGGGAATCAAGTTTGTAAACTCAAGAAGGCGTTGTATGGCCTCAAACAATCGCCCCGTGCTTGGTTTGGTCGGTTTACTCATGTGATGCTTGCGAACAGATATAAACAAAGCCAAGGAGATCACACTTTATTTATCAAACACACTGCTTCAGGAGGAGTCACAATTCTGATTGTCTACGTTGATGATATCATTGTAACCGGGAACGATGAAACAGAGAAAGGAGTGTTAAAGTAGTGTTTGAACCAAGAGTTTGAAATTAAAGACCTTGGGAGATTGAAATATTTTCTTGGCATAGAGGTGGCTCGGTCTAAGCAAGGAATATTCATCTCACAGCAAAAATATGTTACTGATTTACTCATGGAAACCGGGATGACAGCAAGCAAACCTGCAGCAACTCCAATCGAACAAAATCATCGATTAGGAGAAGCTTTAGGTGATAAGAAGGTGGAGAAGGAAAGGTATCAACGTCTCGTAGGAAAACTCATCTATCTTGCTCATCCTAGACCGGACATAGCTTATTCTATGAGTGTTATTAGTCAATTTATGCATGATCCAAGAGAAATTCATCTACAAGCTGTTTACAGAATTCTTCGTTATTTGAAAGCTCACCCAGGCAAAGGAATTCTATTTAAGAAAAAACAGAATATTGATCCAGCAGTTTACACAGATGCTGACTTTGCAGGTTCTCCAGTTGACAGAAGATTGACTACAGGATACTATACTTTTGTTGGAGGAAACTTGATATCTTGGAGGAGTAAAAAACAGGATATGGTTGCACAATCAAGTGCAGAGGCTGAATTTAGAGCAATGGCAGCAGTTATATGTGAACTATTGTGGGTGAAAATCATCTTGGAAGATATGAAAGTTGAATGGTGTGGTCCAATGAAGCTCTACTGTGATAATAAATCTGCCATCAGTATAGCGCACAATCCAGTGCAGCATGACCGAACTAACCACGTAGAGGTGGACAGACATTTTATTAAGGAAAAGCTCGACAGTGGATTAATTTGTACTCCATATGTTCCTACGAATCTTCAGTTAGTGAATGTTCTAACAAAAGGATTAAACAGTCATACATTTCAGGAAAATATATGCAAGCTGGGAATGGAAGACCTATATTCACCAGCTTGAGGGGGAGTGTAGGAAATATCGGGATATAATTAGATAGGAAATATTTTGTATATTCTTTCCTATTCTGTAGGGATCCTATTCTATTTTCCTATTCTTTAGGAATTATTTCCTATCTTAGGACTCTCTATGTATATATATATATATATATATCTGTAGTTGTGTAATTGAGATACTGAAATTATTTTCCCAAATATTATTTTCTTCAGGGCTCATAAACCCTATCCGTAGCATACATCAATACGTCATATCCCTGTGAAACTCTAAAGATGCTCATGAGCCTTTGATCAAAACAAAGACAGAAACCTACACATATTACACATAGAAAACCATGCATCCATCCAAAGCATCTTACTAGTATAACACCACTTAGATTTATCATATACTCAACACACTACCAACACCAACTAAAAGCCAGCCAATGTGAACTATTAAACCAATATAAACACCCATCACCAAACAATTTCATACCTGTCGAAGAGTTTTTCTCTGTGTTAATGCATACGCAATGTCCTGCTCACCAGAGCCATTTTCCTGAGCTATATATATAGGAGGGATAGTACTTTTACTTGCCACATCAAATGCACCGAGTGTCTCTTCAAAGCCATAGTGTAGTAAGTAGGAGCGAACAAGTCTGCCATTGAAATACAAATAATTATTAACTTAAGTAAACAGAAATGGTGATGATAGATGATGATTAATGGTAGCTGACTGGCAAGATCAAATACTGTTATCAAGTTTAGAAAGTCTGCTATTATTTCTAAGGGTAAATGAAAATAGCACCCCCTCAGGTATTGTGAAATTACACAGGCCATTCAAAAGTTTGAAGATTAAATAGAAACCCCCTCCACATTTAAGAAAATCTTGCAGAAATCTCCTTTTTGTCTCCAAACTGCCCTTAATATTTAAAAATCGTAACCTTTAATAGTAAGAACATTTTTAAAATATTTTGGATATTTTGGTACAAAAGAGATTTTTGTAGTATCTTTTCAAACTTTTGGGTGGTCTCTGCAAGTTCATAATATCTCAAGGGGGTTATCGTAATTTACCCTATTTCTAAATACGCCAAAGGGCTTTCCAAAATACTTCTAAAACTTCTTTTTGTTATTTCACAAGATTTGAAACCAAGGCGCTTTAGCCATGCCCCATCACAGAACCCCAGGTCAAAAATTCAGATGAACAAAATTAAAGATGAGATTGGAAGAAAAGAAAGAGGAACTGATGACAACAAGACATAAACAAAGAGGAACAGCTTGCCTTGATCAATTCATTAATTTTAATATCATTTTCCAAACAACTCTTTCATTGTTGAGGTGCAGACTTCATATTATAGGTAAATAAAACTTCAATTACAAGCATATTAGTGAGTTAAACAGACTCAAAAGCAGAAACCATTTCCTATAGAAGAGATTCAAATCTAGCATAGACTTACCCATAACTAACTTTTAGCGGTAAAGATATTTTGTCAACTGTCATTTGTTGCTTCATCTCTTCTTGTGTTTGATATTCCTAAGCAAGGATACAAAGAAGAAAAAATAAGGCAACATTAATAATACCAAGAACTAGTGTTCAATCTACGTACAAGCTACAATGACTTCAACTAAAGTAAATTACTTAAATTTGTAAATTCTGTTTTAGCCTAAAAGTCAGACAACTAAAGCCAGGTGATAAAGAACCATTCATCAAGAGAATTACATAAGCAAACCTAAAATGATAAGAAATGGCATGCAACATGTGGATAGAGCCAGTATTACATTGTATTTAGACTTGTTACAAAAAAATTCAAGAAGTGATATTGTATGCTGTATCAGCTACCAAAAAAAGAAATACCATTTTTGAGCAAGTCAGCAAGGCTAAAAATAAGATCAAAGCAACAAGTGTCATGCAACACCAAACTTCCATTTTCTCAACCATTATGTTATGAGCAACCATAAAAGAAAGTGATGGATTAATTTCTTTTAAAAGGCAAGCAATGAGAGTAACAAATAGAAAGCTATAAATCAATATAAAAATAAGGAATCAAGCATCACCCAAGTATAAAACCTACTACTAGAATCATATCACTACTTGGAAAGTGAAGTTCATCCACTGAGCTTCACTGACTACCATACAAAACAAACTTGACCTTCCCAAGCTTAAGCAATACCCTTGCACAGAGAAGAAAATTTTGCAAACCCACTTAACCAGAAAAAGAAGAAGAAGAAAAGGTCTATAAGAAAGAAGCAAAAATAGGATATCTTGCCTTCAGATCAAAAGCGAATGGCTTTTTCCCAAAGTTGACTTCAATCCTGTCAGATTAAAATGCATCTGAAGGTATCAGATCCTCTAGCATCATGATAATATTAGCACAGTTAAAAATATATATATATATATATAGTTTGAATTCATTTTTCCATACATCTTTATAGTTAATCACAGCTCATTTTCTGTAAAACATAAGATTAAAATAAAATGTTTTGAGTGATCAAAAGCTTGGATTAACTAGAATGTTAATCACCACAGAGAAAAATTTATAGGCAGTGCAAGACAATGTATCTCCATATGTTAGAAGCACAAGTTCAACAAACAAACATAGTGTCCACGAGATATTCTACTATATCTAGATATTTAAATCTTGCCCAAGCAAACTGTCTTAGAATAATGGTTAAATAGTGCAACTAGTTAAAAGAGGCGCTACATACTCCTCATTCTGGCTATGAACAGCAACAGTAGGAAACAACAAACCCTTCATGTCCTTGTACACTGCCCCAACTAACTCTCCATTTTTACTGAAATCAGCACAAAGAGAACATGTAATAATAGAGGCAAAGCAACAGAAGAAGAGTTCACGAAATAGAACTATCTATCACTCAGTGTCCACATGCAACAAGAGTTTAATATAAGCATCACACGAACTGACCAAAGTGAGCAACCTTCTTACGTGAAAAAGAATTCCTGTGAAGCGTAGTTGATACCGGCACCAACTGTATCATTGGTTGTGAATGTTGGGCCAAATGCCTCTCCCTTCGCTGTTCCACGATAAAGATTCCCATCATCCCCATGATACCCACAACTGTTTGCTTCCCACCTGTACAACCAAATAAAATGTTGAAAGAAACAACTGATGAATCGCAGCATTACTATCATTAAAAAGTCATTGCAATTCAAAACTCGCATCAGTGCACAAGAATGTAAACCCACATTTGATTCTAGTCGCTATACCTTCAAAAGAACATTTAATCCAATTATAAAACACCCTGTTAATGGAACGTCCTAATATAATCCTAGACTGCATTAGTAATACACAAATAATTTCCCTTTTTTCAAAAAATAAATACTACTTAATATCCAATTGTTTAACCACTCCAAAATGACAAATCTTAAACCTAATCTATTACCTTCCGTAATTAGGAACTAAAATTCTCTCAAGAACCAAACAAAAAACCCGAATTGCATTCCCTCACTAACTCTACATTACAATCAACAACAAAAATTACTAAAAACAAATGAAATAAATAAATAGAGAAAGAAAAGCGTTACCCAGGCTGTCTCCTCATCTTGAAACTCTGATTAGTAAAGCCAATAGCAATCTGTCCTTTAGCACCAGCATTCTTTACATAAATCTCAAAATAATAAACAAACCGTTTATCCGGAGCTGGTCTATCGGCTTGAATAACACCGACATCATGACCATGAAGATTGACGCCTGTGTACTTAACACTCAATTTATCGGTCGATACCACAAGAAACCCTCCTGAACTGTTCACTGTGTTTAATTCCTTCGGTTCAAGCTCTGTTTCTCCTTGAACTGGTGATGAATATTGTTGTGCTACGTCTATGAAGTATGAGCCTGGATCTTGATTGCAGTTCTTAGAATTCGAATTGATGACGGTGCTGTTGGTGGTTGCAGCGGTGGTGCTGGAGATGGTGCTGTTGGTGGTGTTGCTCATCGTTTAGGGTTTGGTTAATGGAACATCTAAGATGTGGAATTGATTTGGGATTTCTTTTGATGAATTTGGAGGTTGAGTTTGTTAGAAGCAATGAAATGAGGGATTTTGTAATTTTTTATTTTTATTTTTTTTAAGATAAAAGGAGAGAAAATGTTTTTTACAGGGGACTGAAGCGAGGCTTGTTGGTGAAGTGGTTATTTACGTAATCGTCCTGGGAAGATAATGGAAGCTCTACCAAATTAGTTGATTTTCCCTTTTTTTTTAATAATTGAAGGTGGCAAAACTCGAATCCTCCAACCATAAATCTTCTTGCTCTCGAGTAAATTATAAATTAATAAATTCGTACATCTAGGTTTGTAAAATAAATTAAATAATTCTTTTAGTTTTAAAAATTAATTAATTAGTTTTTTATTAAAAAATAAAATAAGAAACAAATATTATGAAGCTTCCAATTTTATCCAGAATGACAATGACCCGACAACAACAGCCTAACCCTCCTAGTCGAGTTCAGAAGAGAATGAGACGAAACACGTACAAGCAATTATCGGAGTTGGAATAGTATGTCTTTTCAAAGCTTCCAATTTAGCACGCAACAAGCATCATACCAAAAAAGGAAAGAGAAAACAAGGAACGGACAGAGATTGAAGAAAACCAAGTGGGGAATGTCAAGGAATACATGGGATTTTTATTCACGTACAGTTTGAACGCATTATTTACAGCAATTTTTTTTGACAACAAATTTCAGTTACAAATGAGATAATGAACCTCAGAATCAAAACCTATGAACCTCTCCATCTCAATTCTAATTAAAGAATTAATTCTAATCGTAGTATTTTTTTTTTTTTTTGTCCTGCTGGTTAATTTTAATGATACAATCAAAGTTACATGTATAGAGGATTTGTAATTCTAGGAACAATCTACTACTCCAAGCTTAAGATCAACTGTCACTGACTTCCTGTGTAGCTTCAGTCGGTTTACACATGCAATCTGGCATGGGAAATGTGTAAAGTGATGCACTGGGCTTTCTTAACTCAGAGCCCTTCACATCACTGTGGTGAAGCATATCTTGCATCTGTCGCTTGAAGACTCCCCATCTGCAAAATATAAGAAATAGATTTGACTCTTTTCTGGGCAATGCTCAATACATGGAACGCCCTTGGAAGATGTATGTGTGAAGAACTTTTTCTTCGCAACACATCCTTCCTTCGAATAAACAAATCTTTCCAGGTGATCCAATTGAGACAATAGATCAGTGAATTTCTGTAATTTTGACTAGCAACGTGGCTGCAAATATCGTCAGGGATCTTTAAAAGCATGCCAAGATTTGTGTCAAGTAATTAAAGGTAGATCCAACGAATGTTTGCGTAAAAAATTTACAGAAAGTGTGGAATTAGTGTCCATCACTCACTGTCTTTTACATCATGATCTGAATCTATAGTTACTCTCAAGTCTTCTTGTCTCTCACCAACAACAGGTGAAGCTGCCTTATAACCAAATATATCATTGCCTAAAGAGCTGTAAGGCCCAAGAAGTGCCGAATGCTAAACTACTGTCAAACTAACTAGCACAGCTACACCTATGGGGTTGCACCACACATGTATCAGGGGGTTAGAGCCTCCGTGATAAACCTTTCCAAAACAGCCACGTAGAGATGAAATACAGAGATAAATATATGATACTTTAAACAGGTTGCACAATTGGGAATTTCAGACTATTTATTGGGATATTCATGTAAGAAGACAAACTAGTAGGACACAATCAAAGAGAAAATACGACACCAAATCCAAAAATAAACAAGGAGATTTTGGATGAAAATGTTACACAACAATAACCCACCACCTCACCAATGATGGTACTTAAATAATAGATGTGAATATCTTTCAGTTTTGAGTTGCACAAGTTAAGAGCTACCACATAAGATTCAGAAATGAAGTGGAAATTGAATTGCATACCTGATAGTGGGCTTATCAAATAAGAGAGCCAATTTCCTCTTGTCAGGTTTGATTGTCTTAGCATGGCCTCCATACAAATAGCGCCTGTGACCCATTAAAAAGTGTGGAAAGTTTCCACCTTGCGTCGTGACAAAGACTTCACTGTGTAGGCAAACCGTATAATCAAGAGCAGCCAACCTAGATGAATGGCCCTACATCACATACTTCTGTATTACAAAGATTGATTTGTTCATTGTGTCTTTTATCATTTCTGTTTCACTTTTCGTAGTAGATGCTGACTCAATGATAGTCAGGAAAATTACAAAGTAGAAGTGTATACAACTAGTTTGATACCTTAAACGGTGCAAGTTCTTCATCAGTAGCTATGGTATCCTTTGTTTCTAAGCGTGGAAACATCTGTTTAAGTGGAGCCATATACTTATCTGCTTTATAAATGTTTCCTGCTGCAACATATACTGACGTGGTATTATCGAATCCCATGCCCCTTAGCATCATCCCCACCTTACACAAGCAGAGTGATCTGTGTTAATTGGTAAGTCTTTTTAAGAACTTAATTACAAAATACAGCTTTGTTTTAAACTAGATGGATATGTAAGAAAAGATGAACACGTAAGAAAAGATGAACACATGATCATTAAGTCAAAACAGCAGGGGAATTTATATCTCAAAGTACTTGACAAATAAGTCCATCAGGTAAACTTCCAAAATTCATTTCAAAGAAAACATTATTGATAATGCAAGAATCTGAACAAAATGACTGCCATTTATAACATCAAGAATCCCCCTAGACCCTGCTCATTGCCATGCTAGTCACAGACCCAATTTCCCACCCTTTTTTTGTGTGGTAGAAGTTATAGCTTTGAACGCTAAGAGTAAGAGCATACACTTTCAGGTCTGTACTAGCTAATTAAATTAAATAATCACAAGGACAACAATAAAATTGATTTATATAACATTATGTAAACTGCATATCGGACAATTTGTACAAATTCAGACTGATTGTCAAGGAATGAAAGTGAAGATCCTACTTGTTCATTGAATAGGCACTAGTCACAGCCCCCAATGACCACTCCTCCTTGTGTGTTAGAATAGTTATAACTTTCAATGTCAACAGTAAGGGCATAGCTTTTCAGGCCTAAAGACAGGAATTTTGAGCTAACTTAATGTGCTAATCACCTGGACATTGCCCCCCCCCCCCCCCCCCCCAAAAAAAAAAAAAAAAAAACATTTCTAGAATCTCTCACAAGATGCATCATCAGATGTCTTTACTTTCAAAACAATGAAAGTGACTAAGAATATTGGATGGTCCACAGCATTAAAGGGATAAAGTTAGTTGGATACCTCCAGTGGAGTTAAAGGGCATTTTCCATCCACGCGATTTGCTCCTGGCTTTATTACTCTACCCCTCCTCCGAAATTTTCCTCTCCAAGCACTTTCTCGTGCAATATCCATCTCTCGTTTCTCTTCTTCCCCACCATCATACTCACAGCATGAAAATGCCACCATATCCTGCCATTAAAAAAATTAACATTTAGACAAGCTTAGAATATAGCTAGGAAAACCAACAGTTCATACTTGAAAGTAAGGAAATGAGAATGACACCGTTTCAAACCGCAGATGCACTGAAACATATTTTCCCCCACTCTGGGAACTATTCTTGATCATCTGATCAACCATTTTCTCTGCAAGCATTCGTATAGGTTCTGAAAACCGTAAAGCTTCAAAATTGGCTAAGCATCTAAGACCCTGGATATTTGGCAGAACTGCATGAGCCAACCTGTTGGAGAAAGGTGCAATGCGCACTGCCCTGCATGATAGAATGAGAAAACTACTATCATACTGATGCCCATGAATAAATCTTAAAGCTCATGAAAATGACTGCATGTATTAAAACGAATAGCATCAAACTGCAAAAACTTGAAAGCTATCTGGTCACTATGAAAATGACTGTCTTGGTATACAGCACATGTGCCCTTTTCTTCTCTCTTCTAAAATAGGTGTGCACTTGTGTTCGTTTGATTATGTATATAAATACTATGTTGGGTCGCATACATGCACCTCTGCATGCATATGTAAAGACTAATAAGCCATGCAGCCACATCACATTGTCAGAACCAATGAGTCTCACATATATGCCTAAAAGGTTTATCATGAATTGCCTGCAATTTCATTTAAAGCACTTATTCCTTGCCATGTGTTCTACATCACATGCATCAATCAGGAAGTGGGTAATCAGAAGTGTCCATTTGCAATATTTAACTAGTATAACTGATTACATCAGAATAAACCTTGAATGTGCTCTCCACATGTTCAAATGTACTATTGCATTAAAGATGCTTTTGCAAAGTAGTTTGGGCTGAAAAAGTATCAAATTGATGCCTTTTTGGTATGCTTCCCAAGTTTATCAATGCGATTACACAGGACACTTTAAAAGTCACCCAAAATTCAGTGCCTCTTCAGCTCAGGAGAACTTGCATTGCACAGACAAAGACACAATAAGTCATGGTCAATTATGCCACGGTAATGGACTGTGAGCCAGTGTAGTTGCTTAATTTTCCAATCTACTATTATTCTGTTTAAAAGAGTCTCAGCCTGAATCAAATAGGTCCTTGTTTTTCCCAAAAGCTTTAAGAGTAACTTTTAGGTACTAGTGGAGGTTTGATTCCTTCAAAATGAACCACTAGTTAAACCAAAAAAACCCATTTCTTTGTATCTTCTTATCTATCAAGATAGGGATGGCAAGAATAAGAAAAACAAATCATGGGATCCCAATCTAGTCAAGATGCACCAAACGGTATTCAAGGAACTAGGGTCTTCACCTTCATCTATATCATAATCGCCATCATCCGTCCAGCAAACCTCTTCCCTTAATAAAAATAGCTTTCAATACTTGCACTCGTTTCAAAATTTTTCTAGCGGTTGAAGCAAAAACAAAGGCCTTGACCATTCATTCCTTCAGTTCTGTCAAAGTTAATTGCTTTCCTGGCAAATAAAAAATTACCTTGATTCTGGTCCTTCGCTAGTTATGGAACCTTCTACCCTGAGGGAGAAATAGTACATCTGAGGTAGAAATAGTACATCATGATGTTTGCTCTCCGGCCTCATAATCTTGAAAACCTGTAACTGTCAAGAGATCTGAAACTTTCCAAGCTTCCAAATTGGTACGAATGCTTTCCTTCAGCCAAATCACAAAACACCCCAACTTGTGCCACTGTTCAAGCACCTGATCTCGTGACTCTTTTCAGTGGTAATTCAGTTATATGTGACTGATCAAGCTAAGTCATAGTATATTTTTATTCTTTACCCTTCCCTAAATTGACAGATGAGAAATAAGAAGATACAAGGAAATGGATGTTTTGTTCCTAAAATCCCTTGACAAGGGATATTTATTTTAAATGAATATCGTCCCACTTATTGTATAACAAACATAGCAACCACTCTTCAATATATTCTTTATCATACTCATTTTTCACAAAAAAAGAAAAACAAAACGCTTTTCTTGTGCACTTTTAAGACAAACAAAGATCAGCTATAGAAGAACTAAACAATTATGACTCAAAGAAAAAGTCTTCAACTAAAGAATCACACCATCCCCAGCCATGTCCTCTATATAAATGTAGGAGGTGATTGTGATGAGTGATAAGCAAACACCACTAGACAATGAAGTAAAATGTCCACATATCATTTTAAATCAAGATCCTCCTAATTTTTTTGTTTGCTCAGAGATTTGGAAGAGAGTCCCTGCAACAACAACAACAATAACTAAGAAAAAGTAAAACCACATACCTCATCTGCCTCAGCTTTGGAAGAACCTTCTGAAGATAGTAGGTTGGGCTGGACCAAGCTTTTACCCTCAAATTTACTATGCTGCTTATGTTATTATCAAACTGCTCAAGGATATCACTTGGGAGCTCTCGAACTACGTTCACATTATTCTTAAGTGCATGTATGAAGAAATCTTCATCAAATATTTCTCCAAATTTGCTGTCATTGAAAAAGAGAGAGAGAGAGAGAATAAGTAATGATCTCAAGAACTGTAAATGACATTATTTCTCATAGAAGAGAAGGTGGACGAATTCCAATTATATATTCGAAAAAACAAGTTACATAAATATTATTTGGAGACAGATGATCGTTTTCCAATATCTTCATGTAATATCAGCCAGGATATATCAAGTTTAATTTTTGTTCATGTTCTAGTTTAAACACAAACATACACCATCCCACCCAGAGTGGTTCTGAATGCAAGCAATGCTTAAAACAAGGGGAGAGGTGCCATTTGATCCAAAGGCACTTGGCAGTTGTCAGGAAACTGAGGGACAAGGGAAAGTGAATATAGTGATCTTTGTCTTGGCTCCAACATATTTTTCCACAGCAAAATTGAAACAACAATTGGTTGTAAGAGGAAGGTTTTACAACTTATACCCCCTAAGGTTGAACTTCATTATATTCTAAATACACCCGTTGTTGGTCAAGGTACCGACATATTTGAAGCTAACAAGGAAAACCCATGAACTGTCCTTAAGCAAGCTGTTCAGTCAGATATTCTCATGCATAATAACAACACCAGCAGCAATAACAGTAATCACCTGGAGTCTCTCCAAACACTATTTAGATGAAAAATCGGAATGACCAAAGTAGCATTCAGCAGTCCTGCCACAGCAACTGCATCGCATATCTGCATGCATTAAAATAATTAACAAGAAAAATGAAGTGAATGATATGATTTATAAGACGAAGATGAAATCCACAAATAAAGTTCAAGACGCTGATGTCTCATTTCATACTTTCGCAGGAATGCATATGTCATTATGACTCCTCCCAAAAGTCAACTGTCATAATTAATTCACTCAAAAGTTTTAATGCAATTGCTGAAATGTGAAACTTCAACTAGCTCATTTAGAAAACGAGCAATTGAGAATAGAAAAACAAAAGCATGTACTAAACAATGTTAGGCTTTATATGATTTCATTGCAGGAATCTATATTTGGTTGGACAATGGAACCTTGGCATCAAGTATAAGTACTGGAAAAAAGTATGCCAAGCAGTGCATCTTGCTAAAAGTTTGGAGCAATGATACAGGCAACTTAAATGAATATTGAACGAATCACCCCTTTAACAATAAATAGACCAGGAGCACATTCGGGTGTAGCCTTCTGATGGTTAAAAGCAAAGGATGGAATCAGCTTTATGTTAAAAGACAAAAAACTTACCGATAAGCGTTGTTGATTCAAACCACCATTCGCCTCAATAATAAGGAAACCATTAGACTCGGGCAATTCTGAGAACCATTGAAGCACAAAAAAGCAGTTAGTTTCTCATAATGCCTTAGCAAGCATAACAGAATGGCTAATACAGTATGTGATACTATTGTTTTAAAGAAGCACCAGGACAATAATGATATAAGAATATGTTTTTCCCACATTATGCAAGAGAAGCCTATAGTACCACCACAAATGATAAGTATGTTACCTCTAATTGGTACATTAATTTTGTTTCTCCAAAAATAACAAAAACCATACAAATGTTTTGGGTTATGTGGTACATAACCAACATGAGACCACATAGCTATATACAGAACCAGAGTGTGACTAAAAAATATAGCTAAAAGCACAAGATTTAGACACTGCACACATGAAATCCTAGCTATTTGCTGATCTTGAGTGGGCTACAAAACCCACCAGTTTAGTTTCGGAATTTTTTGCTATAGCATATTGGGATATCTTTTCCTAGCAATCAAATAAATACAGACATATGTGTGTGTGTGTGTCTGTCATTGTAAGGTGGACTGCAATTTGTCAAATAAGAATTCTACCTGCTTCAGAATTATTGCTGATGCCACTGGGCTTCCAACCTTGATGCCATTTTGGATCCCATGCTGTCATCAACTGCATGATTTATTTTTACAGAGAATCATCTCAAGAGGCACAAAAGAAGAAAAGCAAAACAAAAGGAATAACAAAAATTAGACACTGCACAGAAACGAAGATGAAAAGGAAGGAAAAAAAAAAGCAACTGTTAGATATATCTATCAGTGAAACATTGCAGAAGACAATATCAATGCAAACGCAGAAGTTTGTTGTTAAATATACCGAACATGTGTCAAACTCCACTGATCACTAAGACCAAAATTTATTAAGACAGGTTCCAAATGAGAGCACCCCTTTTTTCACTAGATGTATATAAGGAGGACTCCTGTACCATTTAACATTTTTATTTGAAGTAGCTGCTCTTAAGAAGAACCCACCTCCAAGAGTTGCAAGCTGAAGAATAGTATAGCACCTATAAACAAATGTGCGCACAGACACACACACAACCCAATCCTAGTCAAAAATGGCTCAGAGGGAAATACTTTAAATGAGCTGCTAATACAAAATCATCTCTTACCATTTCAGCTCATGTCCCTTTTCTACCTCTCCTTTAACTCTACTTTGCTACCACTATTTGGATCCAACCACTCCTTCACATTGGTGCACCCATAAATGGATATTGCATTAAGCAAAGCCGTCTCCAAGTATCTCCTGTCTTATCCCCAATCACTAGCCACCTCCACCTTCTTCATGCACTCATTTTTTATCAAACCTTTCTAATATTAAAAGTCATGTCTTCTGGACGTGTTCCTTCACACAAAATCCGCTGCCATGTAGCAAACCTAGCCTAATTTTAGTTTTATAAAATTCAACTTTCAGCTTAAAAGATATTTTATGATCACAGTGCACTCAGGTCGCATTCCTCCATTTCAACAACCCTACTAGGATTCTGAGGTAGCATCTTCCTATATGCCTCCTTCCTTTTGTATTACAAAAACTAGCTATTGAACTTGACAGCTAAGGCACATTATTCCACCTACACTCACTCAAAACCTTTGAACTCGAGGGTAATCCTTCATCTTAAATTCATATTAAGAATGATATTTTTTTTTAGCCATTTCCAACCAAAATTACCATCCTGCTGATATTAGTTTCACAATTAAATCCAACTAGTACTTCCTGGCATTGAAATACACACTGTTTTAAGTCTGCTCAACCTAAAACCACTGGACTCTAGGGTAATCCTTCATCTGAAATTTATAGTGTGAAACATTTTCTTTTAGCCTCTTTGAAACAAAATTACCAATATGCTGATATACAAAGTGTCTATTTATGTCATTTTTCACGGCTAATCCTACTAGAAGTCAAGAAACTTGCCTAACCTTACATTCCCAAATTCGGTGAACGTGCTTCTCCCACTTTTGATTAGGCATTAGATTTTATCACATCCATTAATTAGTCACCAAGCAAATCATTACAAGTTCAAACAATGTACCTTGGTTCAGATTGTTGAGCATTGAGTTTGGAAATTTTTTATACCAACTATTCAAAGCATAAGAATTTTCACTCGTAATACTCGATACCTGGCCAGGCCCTCCTGAATTCATACTCTAACCAAAAAGTCATGGTAAGAAAACAAAGAAACATATATGTATCTCTCAATATAAAAACAACTCAGCCGAAATTACAAAACCCACATCTAACTTTACATCCTATAGTAAAACTCAAGCCTAATAGCAAACTTCAATAACTTCCATTCTTCACAGTCAAGCTTCTACTAAAACAGCAAGAGCTATAAGCCTATATACATCAGAAACAGTAAAAAAAAAAAAATGGAAAGAAAAGGGCAGAAACGATACCGCATTGTAACTGTCATTGCTCTCAGCCTCCATGTACGGCCAAAGCTTCTCAAAAACCTTAGGACTCCGGTACACAGTACCAGGGGGTGCACGTTTCCGTACAACAACACCACCATTTTTCAAATTAACATCAAAATTCAAAGAACCCATATACAAAACCATCCCAGAAATATACAACAATGGCGCAAACAACAACACCCCTCTTCGCTTCAAAACCACCGTTATCATCACAAACATCAACCTCTCCACCACATTCTGCTTCCCCCTCCTCCCCGCCCACCACCACCACCACCACCACCACCTGCAAAACCACCCCCGGGAGATGAATTACTCTTTCCAATTCCGCGGCTGTGACGGAGGCGAGGTGAGGAAGGAGGAGATGGCGTGGTGGTGGCTGTGACAGCGCGGCCTGCAGCACCACCGTTGCCGAGGCGGCTGTAGCCGTGCATGGTGAGGGAATAAAATTAAACAAGAGTCTGTCAGAAAATAAAAGAAAACAAAAAGCAGAATTCTATTCTAAAGAACTTTCAAAAAGAGAAAGATCTGAATTTGATTTACGAGATTTTTATAGAGAAAAGATTGCATTTTTTAAAAAAAAAAAAGTTACAAGGCAAGTGTAGTAGTGAGTGACAGTTACTAGTTTGCTTGGGTCATAAAAGCATCACGTGGTAAGAGAGCGAAAGGTTTTTTCCTCTTTTTTTAGAGGGAGGGAACTCCTCCAGTCACGGTCACGGACAGTTGCCAGCTGAGATGAATGGTGAGTGGAAAAGACAGGGCCACTATTTGTGATTCGTGGAAGGAGGAAGAAGTTGACGGGAGAGATGCCAGCTAGGCATTACTCTCTACCATTTTCAACTCACATCGTCATATATTAGTGAACTAGTCGATTACTCGTGTGTCATTGTGATTTATTATTAAAAAAATAACTATTATTGATTAACAATTCCTAGAAAAATAAAATTTATGAAGAAAAGAAAAATATATTTATATATATATATTGGCTTTTCTCGAATCAATTTTATATGTCAACATTTGTTTCGTTTTCGATAAAAATTTAGTCATTACATTGTTTGTGTTTGAATTAGTATTTTATAAGTATAACACTATTTACTATTTACTAGTATTTTCAGTTTTCAATATCATGTATAAGTGAGAATCTTTTATGCTTTTAATATTTATTTATTCTCTAATCAGTTTATATATATATATATTTGGCTTTTTTTCAATTGAATTTTAGGAAGGTTGTTTGTGTTTGAATTTAGTGTTTTATTAGGAGTTTCTTTTTAGTCTATTTTAGACTTAGTAAGCTATAAACTAGTCCCTTTTTGTTTTAATAAACAAATTGATTAGTCTCTTTTATTTCAAAAACTAATTATTTAATTCTTTTGTTTATTTTATTTTTATCAATACTAATTAAAAAATTAATTTTTAAAACCAAAATAACTTATTAATTTGTTTATTGAAATTAAATGAACTAATTTATAATTACTCTTTTAGATTTAATAACAAAAAAAAAACTTAAAAGCAAACAACTTTACGTACTAATACCTTAAAATTACACCAAAGAGAAAATTAGAGAGTGAAAGATGAAAATCGGAAAAGAAAATTATGTTTTCTATTCAATTACAACCAATATTGATAATAGGGTGGGAATGGTTTCCAAATTGATACTCTTTTGAAAAAAAGAAAAAAAATTCTTTATTAGTAAAATCTTTTCAGGTTAGTGGTGATAACCAATCCAGGGCAAGAAGATAAGAGAGGAATCATGGATGTTTTCTCCTTCGTTCTCTCTCTCTCTTTTTTTTTTTAAGTCTTATTTGAAGGTTGATATATACTTCGAAGTATTTATTTGAAAAAAATTTTCATTTTGAAGAGAGAAAATCAAAATAATTTGTTTCTATAACCTAATTAAAGAGACTATGAACGAAATTATTTTCTGTTAATCTTTAAAGAGGGTGCATGAAATTATGTTTAATCTAATATAACTAAAGTTTCCATTATTGTGATTGACGAAAGAAAAAAAAACTGAATAAAAATTGTCGAGGTGAAAGCAAAAATCCAATATAGATAAATGAATTCATAAAGATGCATATTTTTTTCCCTATTTTGAGAGGGAAAAAGTAAAAAATAATTTAGTTTTCTGAGAAAAAGAAATCAACAAATATTTCAAGCACCGACAAAGCTAACAAGCTTCCATGTACGTAGTGGGCCTTTTAGGTTTGTGGATAGCAACAAGTTACAAGTGTGGACAATAGAAATTGGCCCACCACCTTTTACAACTTTTAGGGCCTTTTTTTTATTATTCTTTTTTGTTTTTTTTTTCAACGCAAAAACTATGCAAAATATAATTATAATTACCTTATTAAAAAAAAAAGACAGGGTCATAGCACAGCCACTAAGGTTCTTACTTCTTATCAGTTAAGGTATCAGAATTTCCTTGGGCGCCTCTGTCTGCTATCTCTCCGATCTTTAGTCACGGAAAAAGGCAAAACTCTCTTGTGAGAGAGATGGTGATAATGAAGAAGAACGAGTGGAGAAATAAATGCCAGTTATTTTCAGAGATATAAGACGGTATTATTGTGATTACTGTGGTATTTTTAGATCGAAGAAGTCTCTTATCACTTCCCATGTCCTAACCCATCACAAGGTCCGTCTTTTAATCTCTATTTCTGTTTCTTTCTTTATATGTTTGTGCTTGTTTAGTTAAGAACCTTATATTGTTAGTTTTCTCTGTTTGGTCAGATCTGAAACTGGAAAATATGTTTTTTTTTTTTTTTTTTATGAAATCAGGAGCCAAGGTTGTGCTTTCTACTCAATTTTTTTTTTTCCTAATTGTTCTGATTTTACAAATTAATATTCTGCGTCTGGATTTATTTATTTATTTATTTATTTTCGTATTTTAGTTGCGATTAATTAGCTTGATCTTATTGGCTGAAGTTGCTTTGAATCTAATTCTTTGTGGGCCATTCATGAGAATAAGGAAGAAAGCATTTTGTGGTTTAGCCCTCAAATCAAATGTATCCACATGGCTCAAAAGAAAAAAGATTGATACCATTTTTTTAAACCCCATCAGTTCATGGAAGGTTTGGCCATGATTAAAAAGTGTTCTTGTAGAGGAGCCTGCCTATTTTGAAATTGAATTTTGTTTTTCGGACAGGAGGAGATGGACAAAGAAAGAGTTGAATTTTGTGGGCCATTCATGAGAATAAGGATTTTGTTTTGTGCCTATTGATACTAATTTTAGTGATATAACAAATTATTGCTTCTAATGTTTTTGTCAATTTTCTGATTTTGCAGAGGCCGTTTAGTTGTTCAGTTGATGGTTGCCATGCCAGCTATAGAAGGAAAGATCACTTAACTCGCTACCTTCTCCAGCATGTAGGGAAACTTTTCAACTGTCAAATTGAGAATTGCAATCGTAAATTTGTTTACCCGAGCAATTTGAATAGGCATGTAGAGAACTTCATGATGAGGGTTCTCCCTCCTATATTGTTGGACGTGAGAAGCAGTTAGTTTGCCAGGAACTGGGTTGTGGGAAAGCCTTCAGATACCCATCAAAGCTGCAAAAGCACGAAGATTCTCATGGTGAATTGCCTTAGATTTCACTATTGGAGTTTCTTGAAATGAGGAAGAATTATTCACAGTTTGGAATTTTGGCAATTTATCCTTCCTGCCATCAATGATTATTATCCTCTCTAATACAGTGAACCTGGAATCTGTGGAGGCAATGTGTTTAGAACCAGGCTGTATGGAACATTTTTCTAATAAGGAATGCCTGGAGGTCCACATACAGTCGTGCCACCAATACATTAACTGTGATATGTGGCACAAAACAGCCAAAAAAGAACATCAAAAGGCATCTCCGCACCCATGAACCTGTAAGTAATTCAACAGAGAGAATCAAATGCAATTTCAAGGATTGTCAGCACACATTCTCTACTGTAAGATATCACTAATGTTACATCATCAACGGTTCTATTTATTATAGTGTTTGATACCGATAATCGAGCCATTACATGCTCACCAAGCATCATTTTTTTTTTTGGTTTCATTTGGTTTTTCCTATTTGTTTGCAGAAAACAAATCTTAATCAGCACGTGAAGGCAGTACATCTTGAACAAAGGCCTTTTGCCTGTGGATTTCCTGGTTGTGACATGAGATTCTCATACAAGCATGTAAGAGATAACCATGAAAAGTCTTCTTTGCATGCCTATACTCCTGTAAGTTCTGTGCACTGGTCTATTAACACATTTTGCTCATCAATGTGGAATCTGTATTGCTAACATGTCTAGAAAATGAATTGGCATTCTGAAATTGGATTGCTTTTGGATCAGTGATTTTGTAGAGTCTGATAGGCAGTGCAGGACAAAGCCAGGAGGTGGGCAGAAGAGGAAATTCCCAACTGTTGAAACGTTGATACGCAAGAGAGTAACTCGTCCAACTGAAGTGGTTGAGTGCCACACGTGGTTGCATGAAATGGAGACTGGGGACCTGTTATGAGTTGTGCTCTATAGTCCTGTAAGTTTCTGGATTTAATTGGTTACGTCAGTAGAAGTTGAGTTGGCCTCGGGCATCAAAGCTATGTTCCATCCATGAAGGTATTTGCAGTTTATGGGATGGCCATTGAAGAATGCAATGACACTAGAAAGCAAAATGTCAAATGGAAGGTTCTGAAAACAAAAATGAGGGGCTTGAAGAATACTCCGAGAGCTACAGCGAAATGTGAGTGACTTGGGCCATCACTGATTCCTGTTAGCAGTTTCTCACTTCCAAGCATGAAAGGGATGTTGGACACTGGGACGGTCACTAGGTTCTTCTTGCACGCTTAATAGCCCAACATTTTACACACTTGAATAATTCACATGTTGAATGTGTTTCTTAATGTCTGGTCCAAAAAACCATTGCCTTGTCTTCTTTCCAAAAACTCCATGTCTGTAGACACTTCAGAAATACAAAGTGACTTAATTTCAGTTGAACACTACAACAGAAGCAGCACTGGTTACAACTACAAAAAACTTGCGACTTGAAGGCGCAAAGATTGTTCTGGATGATGGCATCTTGTGTTCCCTTTTCCACTTGCTGTCTCAGATTATAACATCACAAAGCTGAACAGGAAAAGACCATCTAATGCATACACAGGAGCGATATAGCCATTAATTTATAGGAGGCATTGCAGAATTTTCAGTGCATAAAGATATCTAAATGTCCAAAATTTTATAAATAAAAGTTGAAGATTTTAGCATCAATGCAAAAATTGCTAGGTTCCAACTAATCTGATTGTGTTCGTGACCGTTTCTTCGCCTCCAAAAATCCTTGCAGAGCTAAAGTCAGAAATTTGGGTTTCATTTCCCCATCCAGCAGAATGTTCCTTTTTTTCAAATCACTATGAATGATTCTCAACCTGGAATCCTGGTGCAGATAAAGAATCTCTGGAGCGATTCTAATTATGATATTGTAGCACATCTCCCAGTCTAATGACAAGACTTTCTAACTTGAAATGTTTTTATTTCAATTAAAGAGCATAAATTTAGCGACTGTTAAAGTAGTTCCCCTCAGTCTGTTTTCTATGCTTCCCATGCAAAATTTTAGGAACATATGCAAGAAACAACCATATATGATGGAATCTAAGCCTTTTTTAGGCATATAATCGTACAGTAACATTTCATCTCATGCAACAAATTAGCCAAAAAGCCTCACAAGATTCCAATGCTGTAGCTTGGCAATCAAGACAACCTCCATTTTGAATTCTTTTAATCCTATTGGCCGGTACCAATAGAAAGCCTTTTGACAACAATTTCTTCTCCACCTGGAAATGTAGCCTGATCCCACAGACATCAAATTTTCGAAGACTGTATCTATCGATCGGTGAACATATTTTGGGATTTCTGATAATGAAACTGTGATCAAAATGTTGTATTGTTAGCTTTTAAACAGGTACCTTGCCCTAGCTTGTTTGCATTGAGAAGTTATCTGCACAGCTATTCTGCTTTCTAAGTCAAAACATGGCATATCTATCGCCTTTGTCTCATCTTCATTGAACCGACTTGAGTCAATTATGTCTTTGACAAGTCTCTTCCCACCATCGAAGTCATGAAGTCGTAAATTTCTTGGAAAAATTCCCTTGTTTTCTGCACTCATATATACATGCCATGTGTTAGTAACTTCATATCCACATTGTTTTCTTGGAATCTTTCCTATTGAAGTCTTTCCTATTGAAGGAACATCTTCTTGCTTACTTGTAATTACCTGCTGCAATCGGAATTTTACCCCATGATTTAGTTTTTTGTCTCTCTTTTTCTTGACAAGATACCTAACAAAATACTTCTGATAACAGAAGTTACACTTGTTCACAAGGCCTTTCCATATTTTGGAAAAGGACATGATTTCTCTGCGTTCTATACAATGAACACAAAGTTTTTCATAAATGCATCGAACAAATCATCTCAAATTAATTGAAAAACCTACAAGTCCTATCGAGCCTCAGGCAGGATGATTATCAACCCATTGTTAGAGAAACTACATGAATTGTTGTGAGAAGAAGAAGAAACAACATTGCTAGATTTCCTACAACTAAGACTAGAAATGCAGGTTCTTATGCAGAAGGAAGTGATGCATTATCATTGTTCAACATCAGAAACACTAACGACATTGTTGGTCTATCAACCGGAGATTTCTGAACACACAGAAGCCCTATATGGATGCACCTGAGAGCTCTGTCAGGACATTCACATGTGTCCCGTAGCTACAGATCGTTACGGCATAGTCATCTATCTTCATTCCACTATTCCCATGCCTGAAAAACATTTTAAAGGCACTAATGTCATGATTTGCTAGTTATCAACTAATATATAAATGGATTTATCATTTCAGTAGTTGAGGTGAGTGAACAAGTAATAAATCAAAGTTTAAAAGAACATGGCAAACAAATTGAATGATTCTCAGGTGTGAATGATTTGCTGTAATCTTGAAGAAAGGATAAAGACTTGGTCAACAGAACAGAAAATCCTCTGTTTCTGATATATATATATATATATATATATATATATATATATTAATTACTCTGGTAGTAAGAAGGTAATGGCTCACAGGTCACTTTTCTGAGGTTCGGTTCCCGGGATAAAATCCTTCAGACAACAGCTTCTCATCACGTATATATTGATGATTGTCATTTATGTAGAGTATTTTACGGGCAGAAAAAAAATATTACCACCTTTTTGCTTATGTCTTCGCTATCAGTGTCGAGGCCTAGCAGTAATCTGCAGCCATCACAGGTCAAATGCTGCAGGTTCGTATCTTATCGATTGTCTGAAAAAAAAAATAATAATAAAATAAAATAAAAAATAAAAAAATTGATGAGGTCTTCTAATTCTGATTCGCGTGTGAATAAGCCCACAAAGCATCAGAATATGCTTCTTGTATCTAAACTCTATTGTTTACCTGCTGGCGTAAATTCCCAGCATAAAAATTGTAGGAATCACAGCAATTTGTTTCATCTATATAAAACTACAAAATGGTAGTACATATATGTCTATTGCAACCTTTTTTCTTCAAGAAGTTAGGTGTGAATGTTTGACACTGAATTCTCTCACTGTTCATCAACACCATTATAGATAGCTGTCAACAAATCATTTTCCAACCATAGATGCTTTATAGTATAATAAATCAATCCAAATAGTCCTAGTTTCATCATCATAAAAATAAATAAATAAAAAATAATTAAGTTTATAAGAATCCTGCGGTACTCCTGAGATGATCCATGAAATTCGATCCAAGCCGTCGTTCATCATTTTGAACTATCTTCTGCAAAGAAGAATCCTCTTTATTCAATTCATCAACTTCTATTTTGTTGCAGTGATGCCGACAATAAGCTCCATTAGCTTCAAAGGCCTTCACAAGTTTGAAAAACAATTGCTTCATATCCTTATTACTACTGTGTCTTCCCATTTGATCTTTATAAATCAAAAGAATGCGGTGAGCTCGCTTCCGAAAATGTCCATGCACGAAAGCATCAAAATGGATCATAGTTAAGAACTTGAGCGTGTAGAGCATGGCTTCGCAGGATGCCATAAAAACACTATTAGCATTCTTGGAGTATCTCTCTTTGTTGAAATACGAAAGAACAAACTCATTCAAATAAGGTTTATCATTCAAAATTAAATGTTGGATCCTGAGAAGAACCTGTAATATATCAGACTGTTCTGGATTCCATGATTGTTCTTTACCTCCGGACCGCCATTTATACCAGTGATGAAGATTTAAAAGGTTAAGAGAGACCCTTCCATCTTCATGGAGATTAGGGCTTAAATCAAACCCACTAGAATGGTAAAAGATCTCAGGAGGCTGAGATGGATAGTCAGCAGGAAACATTATGTCAAAAAAGAAGAGTCCATAACAATATGGAGTACCTTCTAAACCCACAATGCAAGCTCTCATGAGATCCATCCTTGACTCATAAGTTGTAAGAAAAATAGAACTTGGTAGATTAGCCTCCAATAATTCCCATTCTTTCCTTATCTTGTTGTACATAGAGCCAGCATCTCTCTTTCTGCTTCTATATTTGAAGTGATGGTCCGAAGGAGGGCATTGAAGTACCGCGAAGTTTTTGAATTTCTTGAACCTCTTGTCTATTTCATCTTCTATCTCTTCAATCTCTTGAAAACAATTTTCTCCTTGTTCCATATCATCTATGATAAGAAAATACCAATGATAAAACTACAGGAAAACAACGAAAAAAAAAAAGAAAAGACAGCCTGTGTTATTAGGGTTTGGAAGAATCGAGTATTTTGAGACATTTAGTTTGCGTAAGGATTTGATAAGAGTTTTAAAGGCAAACTGATGCATATCTAAGGGAAAGGGTTCGTTGTTTCGATAGAATTTAGCTTGTGTCCTTGTTAATCTTACTTATCTCACAAATCCGAATAAGAGTATATGAGTTTAAGTTTATACTCAACACGTAATATATTTTTTAACTAAAAAAGAGAAGAAAATATAAGTTAGAAATTATCAAGAAAAAATAAAAAGTTACGGCAGACACTAGGGTTTTAATTATTAGTATCAAAAGAATGGGAAGTAGTGCAAATGGTGTACCTAGCACATAAAAAAGATTATTAAATAATAAAAATTTACATAATAAATAAATAAATTTGTTGTAAATTAAAATAGATAAAGAATTGAAACTTCTTAGATAAAGCATGGCTAAATAGAAGCTAAAATTAGCGATGGTTTATTGACGATTTTTTAAAACCGTCGTCGAATTGGCGATCTATTTTCCGTTATTTAGCGATGGATTTTTTATTTGTTAACGACGGATAAATCATCTCTAAATTTGCAACAGAATCCTTGAACCATCACAAATTAATTAACGAGAAACTTTTTAACGACGATTTTGAACGAGTCTCCAAACCATCTCTAAGTTTAATTAGCGACGGTTTTTTTTTTTCATTTAGCTATGGTTTAAACCGTCACTAAATGAATTTTTTTTATAGTGCACATCATCGTAGAGATACAACAAGCTCAACCACCTTGCCGTCTCTTATCAAATTTGTACATTTATAAGATTTGATACTCCAAATATAATAGTACCACGTTTACCCAAAGAAAGAACTGCTAAAAATAATATGGCTTTTTAGTGGGAGACAAAACCTGAAAAATTGAAAGAAATATTTTTCTTTTCCTCCTAAAAAAAAAAGAAAAAAAAGAAAAAAAAAGAAAAAAAGAAGAAGAAGAAGAT